AATTTTATTAATTTTTTTATTTATATTTTTATTTTATTTTATTTTTTTATTTATATTTTTATTTTTTTATTTATATTATTTATTTTTTATTTTACATTAATGCAATATGTATATATAGCTCGGCTCCCTCTTTAATGTGTGACTTGTTTTTTTTAACTACAATATTTTTCCGATTTTAATGAGATTCAAAGTACACAATATGTGTACTAGAAAAAATATTATGCAATTTCGTTTCCCCCGTTTTTCTAACGATAAATATATAAACAAAGCATTTTACGAATCTACTTCCACACGAGAGAATATTGTAGTAAAAATTACAATATAATTTTAATGCTCCAGGAGACTGGCACTATGATGAAAATTATAATAGGACATATTAAAAGTAATCCCAAACATTAAAGAAAATAATAAGAATTACCATAAATGTAATAAAAATTATCATAGTCATTTTTACTGTTTTATTATAATTTTTGTAATAATGTCAGTCTATTCCACTAAAATTGTATTGTAATTTTTACTACAATGTTTTCTCTATGTATTGCGAACATGTCCCGGTCTCCTACTATATTCGAGAATACTATGAGTCATATATGAAAAATGTATAAATATAAAGTGTTAATCCATCCAGATATGCAATTATGATTTAAAAAATGTATTATTCATTTATCTAATCCTAGCGGAATAATTGCCGCGCACATGTTATTTATTTCTCGCAAGAACTTCTATTGTGAGTATATTACAATAGGAAAGAGTGGACGGAAATTCCATGTAAGAATCATGACAGGAGATCAAACTAAGTCGGGAACGGTCAAAGGTCAGGCGATACCGCAAGTTTATAATAATATAGGATACTCTTTTATGAATTTTAATATGACATGATTTACGTTACGTTTCTCGTCGCGTCTGCAGCTATCGGATGTTATATTTTACGAGAGTATTATTTTTTATCGTTACACCACGACCGGGAAGTGGATAGAATTTTTAAGCGTTCTGTACCGGGTGTCACAACGAGAGGTCGAAGTAAGTAGAGACCGGTGAAAGGTCAGATGTTTTGCGCGCTAGTGCGCTTATGCATACCGCGAAGGTTTGCGCAGGCATTCGCCTATCCACCGGGCGTGAAAGCGGACTACAGCGCGGATGATGTCACGTACGAATTATTAGTAAAGTTTCCTATACTATTCCTGGTACAGTGCGTGTCACAGCGCGGAGAATTCTGCGAGACACGCGAGCGAGATTGTCGTGTAAATAAAACGTTGCCTCGTGTCGTGACATTATGTCGATTGTATCATACTTCTCGGCTCGTATTGCACTAATCTTAGAGTAGAGTAGGATAAATATATACAATAACAGTAAAGGATAAAAAGAAGAGCAATTTTCGTCGCCGCGAACGAAAGTTGTTCTACCTCTGAGCCTACAAAAGAGAAATACTACTATCGCAATGTACTTCTGAATCTTCAATAAAACGAAAAGAATTTTAATAAAAATACGTGGAAATATACTGAACGCACAAACACTTCTTTAAACACAGTTGTATTTACGTTATCTAAACGAGCTTTGATTTTGAGCTTTAAGAGAACTGCTCTGTCTACACGACCAAAAATAGTCATTTTTCAAGATTTCTTTTTAAGTCTGTTAAAGGATGTTGTTACAAAATTTTTGTTAATAATTGGAGAATATTTCAAGTGCAAAATAATATTTTTATATTACAAAAAGAATTAATAATTAAGATAATAAAATTAAAATATCTTTGAGGCGTTGAAAGATTTTCTTGTGTAGGTTGGGTTCAAATAAAAAATGAATTAATTTTGTAATCTGCTATCAGTCTTCAACAGTACAGTACTTTCTTAACTACGAAAGTTAAATAATTTTTCGAATTGGCAAAATGGCAACGTTTTGAAGACGATAATTTTCTTTTTAAAATAGCTCAGTTCTTTTTATAAGCTCAGTTCAGAAGTATGGAAAAAAGAACTGTTAAAGCTGTATCATAATATTCGCAGTCTGCGTTATAGAGAACCTAATTTGAAAGATAATGCAAAACTTCAACTCGATCGGTCTATTAGTTTCTCAGTTTTCTTCAACGCCAAATTAAACAATGTGACTTCGAGATTCAAGCTTCAGAATTAAGTTTTATGCATAAAACTTATATTTACCTTTAATTTGTTATTATTGGAACATATAGCAATTCTTCGACTTCTTTATTGAAATCTTGATTGGCTATTGCTTTCATTCTTTGAGCCACTTTGGCCTCCTTCGACGTGAAACTCGTCTTATGCTCCGTTGAGTTCAATCTCTCTTGCGTCTCGTCTTTCTTCTCCAAATATAGTTTTATTGTTTCTCCAATTTTAATTACCATAGTATGGAGAACGTTTCTCCAATTTTAATTACCATAGTATGAAATTGTTTTGTTTCCCTCATTAAAGAAACATACAGCCAAATAAGCTGCTGTTATCCGCTGGAGCGATGCCTCCTGAGATTAATCCGTCGACAAACTAACACGAAACGTTTCTGATTTCTATCCGCGCGCTGCATTATTTGATTCTAAATAACAATGTTAATTTTAATCAAAATTCTAAATTCTAATCTTAATCAAAACTACTTTAGGGCTTTATTTTATACATTTAAAGCTGTCGATTAATGAACAAAAAGATTTTTTCGATTTTTCGAATCCTATAAACCAAGCATACTCCTTAAATCATTATTAATCATGTCATTTCGCGTTTTCTAAAGAAAGTTCCCCATCTAGAGTAATATATACATATAACATTCATTCCGATGTTTGAAATTTATTATTACCTGTAAAAAGGGAGAAATGATCGATCTTAATTATTCTATATGCACACGCTCTCCAAAGTCTACAACTTAAATCAAGTATATCTTTAGGCAAATAAGAGTTTAATACAGATGTTGGAGTGAATATTTAAACTAAATATTGGGAGGATAATAATGTTAACAATGTCAACGAAGAAGTCCTCCAGTCTTTAAAACGTACGCAGTAAATCAACTTTCCATGTCAAATCGACTCCGAATGCCAATTTTTAATATTAATGTTATTACCCCCCGCTTTCTAATTAAAAAATTACCTATTTTTTATTTCAAATTATAATTGCGAAAAATATCGTCTCAGTCAGGAATCGAACCTGGAGCTCTTCACTTGCCGGGACGCCGCATCAATTCGGCTACTGAAACCTCGACAATACTCATCGTAACACAATTAATTATTCCACATATTATGTTGTAGCTTGGGACCACAGCATATTTCAATCCGCTACTGTCCCTGATGAAGCAGCAGATCTGCCTCTATGATATGCACATCGAGAATATATGCATACACGTTTATTCTATCGACAATTCTCGCGCACGAAAGCGACGAGATATCTTATGGACATCATACGCGGTGATATTTCGATTTCGGCGCTCGATTTCACCGCGTTCAAGTGTCATATAACGCGCGAACGTGCCGTCACGGCAGAATTTTCTCCCTCGCATTGTATACGCTTCGCGTGCATACAATACTTGTATATATTTGCGCGTATGTGCGTGACGTAGATGTACTTTTTTTTTTATTTCACCCTCGCGCCCAACTTGGTTCGCGCCGATATTGTGAGCGCGACAATGGCGCGTTCGCTGATTAAACAGACGTAATCCTCCTACACGCGCAAATTTATGCGTGCGGCGCGTTTCGCAGCGGTTACGTACAGGAGAATTAGCGCGGCCATACGAAACGATCGTTCGTAGCCGTAGCCATCGACCGTATAACGCGAAATAACGGACGCTGAAACGTTGAGCCGCGGATTATGTAAATTACCGTAATACATTTTTCCTGCAAAATTTGACGCTTTCTGGCGGCAGCTTATTACGCGAAACGCCGCCGCATATCCTGTAAACTTGCTTCCTCCGCCCGGTGCTTTCATCTTTCATGCTTGTAACGAAGAGGAAAACAGAAGGACTAGAAAGAGGAAGAGAGATAGTGCGCAAGTGTGTAATGTGTAACGTGTAATGCGCATCGTGAGAGATAACATTTTTAAATTTTGTTCTGTATTTCTACGCTCCATATTTTCGGCTTCATCCATCAGCCAATATTACCCTTCGATATTCCCGATAAATTTGCGCGAATAAAAATAAACGTTAAAGATTGAAAAATCTTCTAGTGCTGCAAAAAAGAAATATTTATTATTTTTATTTTTATTTGTTTTTATCGTTAACACCTCTATCAGCGTTGTTATTATTGGCTTCACATCGTGAAAATTCTTTTAGTAATATTCCCTTACAATTATTATCTTGTATGATATTCTATATAATATTATCTTATCGAGCAATCTATATATTTATTGATGACAACAGTAGTTTCTCGTCAAGGATATGTTGCCCAAATAATCCCTGCAGAAAATCACTGAAATTTGAAAATAATTGGAAATCTTTGATAAAAACATATTTGACAGATTTATACGATATAGTTAAATAACATTTTTTTTACTTCAACATCACATGTATTTACATTTTATATTTACTATAGTCTATATTATTTCTGATTAATTTTAAACTTTCATCTCTGAATCATATAATAAAACTTTGCATACTTTGCAGTATTTTGAATATATGAAGTACGTGTGTAACAAAAATTGAGATGTATGTCATTATTTTTTCATTATCTTACCTTTAGTAAAGATAGCAACGTGATATATCATAACAGGTCTAAAATACTTCCAAATGGAAAGATGACATCAAATAACGTATTATTAACGTTAAATACTCCATTAATTTAGCATTAAAACGTCATTTTACGTCATGTTTACTAAGTTTCCCCATTTTAAAGTGAAATAACTTTCAATCCGGTCTCTTAATCGACGTCAAATTATTTATGATTGCTTTTAGATGCAATATAGATTATTCTTTAATTCTTCCCAAATTTCATTACTCAACATTTTATACATCCGATTAACGATTCTTCGACGTGGCTTGTCCAAATGGTAGCATCTAAACAGCTAATGTATTTCTTGCAGATACAAATTTTGCGGCTCGCTGCCGAATCACCTGGACGATAAGGATGTGCTGGACGACGATCGGCGGGATAACAATAATATCATGTCCGACACTATCGGCGGAAATTTCGGCGGCACGTTACCTCACAAGAAACGATCGTTAGGGGTGCACTTCTCGGACAGCGGGCCAACCGGCACTCTGGATCTCGTTAAACACCGATCGCAGGACTCCCTGGACGAGAACGATCCTTGGAGGTACGTAAGCGCTCACGTAAAAACAATTCACCATACAACTGTCCGTTTCGTATTGCGCGACGGCGTGAAGAAGAAAACGAAAGGAGAACGCGTCCGAGGTGTAGAGCCCATTAATTATCCTTAATAAATTCCCGGAATTTATCGCCCTTCGCACTTGCACGCAATCCCGACATTTCATCGCGGGACCGTCGAGAATCGGCGCGGAGACTCGGCAATTTGGAGAATTCCGGGAACGTCTCTTCGGACTTCAACCTCCGATCGATCGATCGCGCCCGCTTGCATCGAACGCGAACCTCCGAAGTTCTCATTTTGAACTCATCGAGTCCTTCGCGCGCCGTCCGCATCTCGGAGTCCCAGAAAATCGTTCTCGCGTATCGTACAACGGCTCTCCCTTCCGGGACGAAGCGGAACTCTCTCTGAATGGAGAATTAACCGAGCGATCCCGCTCGGCTTCCAGGTACCAGCAAAGCGATCTCGATCTGGTGCGGTGTCGTCACGGTAACTTCGACTCGGTGAAGAGGAATCGCAGCACCGACACGGCGCACGGCGACTCCGGCAGGAGATATGGCCGCGGCGCGCCCATGGAGGACAGATGCCACCGGAACGCCGACCTTGACCTGGTCGGCACACTGCCCAAACGCAAGCAGGACACCAGGAACAGCGGCAGGAGCCTTGAATCGAACTCGTCGTCCTCGCACCCGTGCACAGTCACGAACGCAACGACCACCAACGACGGAAACGACGACGACGATGACGACGACTTGCTGATGAAGATGCTGCACAAGCCCGACTGCGAGCTGCTCAAGCATCGTCAGCAGTTCGGCAAGTGCGTCGACTTGAAGCTGAGCAAACTGGCGAGCGGCGGAGAGCCGCAAGATCAAGGATACGCGTCGGAGCGTTCCCCCGAAGACGAGCATCCCCCGTCGTTGCCCGGACAACCATTTCCAAGCGTGACGCCAGGTAAGCGGCAATTGTATTCTTACATTCGCTTGTCTACTTTTCTCGCGGATCCTCGAGTGGCGTCCTTAAGTAGTTTCCTCTGTATTTTAGTATATATACTGGGCATATCTCATTTTTAAATTGCACACTTCAAATATTTTGAAAACAAGGCAGTGTGGAAAAAATATATGAAAAAAAAGCTGTAGAGGAAAACGTCTAGATAACTCGGCTATGTTGCTCATGTGCTTTTTTAATATTTGTCTTGAAAGCAAGGTGGATAACAAAATCGCGACACATAATCCTCTTAGAACATAAATATTTTTTCTCGAGCTTTATTAAAATTGAAGATAATATTACAGTTAAAAAATAGAAGAAACTGATTTGGTAGTAACAAAGTAAATTTTCTCGAAATATCGTATTAATATTCTCCATCGCAAGTGAATAAAGTAAGCAACGTGTTACTAGTTGGAATAAAATTTCTTGCAAGTAAATGATATATACTGTTTTTAGCTAATAAAAGTAATTTTCATTCATAAAATGATTTAAATGAAATATATAAACGAACGAGTTAAAGCCTTGGCCTTTAATTACAGGTAGGCTGTCGCGAAGATCCCAGAACTAACAACCAAAATAAGATGATCACGTTGCTGCATATTTGCATTTTGATTATTACAAAACAAAATATACGGTTAACAGAATCGTGGCGGATATTAACATATAGAAGAAAGCTACCTCTGTCATGTTACAGTCAATCACAACAATTAGTTGTTCGAAAAATCTTTGAAATTCTGAAATGTGGGACATTTAACTCCAGTCTCTCCTATGGTTCTTCCCTATAAGAAGAAAGAAAATGATAATATTTACTTGCTTTTTTGGAATGACCTTAAAGTCAACTTTAATTTCTTAAACAGAATTATATAATTTTTTAACAAAAATCTGTTCCGCTTATTATTCTACATATTTTTATATATAGAATAAAATTTCTCTAATCTACGTATTTTTATCATAAATTAAAGGGTTGAAATCATTGAAAGATGATTGTTTTGCGAGATATCTTTCATTTTCTCTCTAATACTTTCTAGTACAAAATATAAAATATCTCATAAAATATTCACATTTTAATATAATCTCACCTAAACACTTTCTAAAATTTGCTAAAATTATTCAATTAAAAAGAACACCCTGTGTATTTAAGAAGAAAGTTCTCAAATGGCAGAGCGCAAATCTTATATTTCTACTAATAAAGATATAAGTGTGTTCTCCATATCTTAATTATACTGAGAGAAATTATCCGATAAAAAATTAACAAATATTTTCGATCAAATTCCGATCAATTTTTATATCTGATCAAATTTTATCAGATATTTCCTATCATAATAGCATTTCATCAAATAAACCGATGAAAAAATTATAAACTGGTATTTCTCATTCGATATTTTCTGATCGGATACAAAAGTTTATCGGTATTTTAATCGGAATCCGTTTGTTAATTTTTTATCAGATAATTTTTCTCAGTTTCTCTTTCGTCATCGATAGGATACTTTAACTGACTTTAAAAATAAAAGGCTCTTATCTCACATGTAAAATGTACGTTTAAATTTCACGTGAAACATTGACGAAATTTCATATTCGCGAACACGTTTCCTAGATCTAAATTTTTTCGCTGCGTCTCAAAGAAAGATCGAAACGGAGATGTACCTTTTGCGAAGAAAAACACAACAGCGTCAGTCGACCAATTAACGCGTCTAATTAAACTAATTAATATCCACTCGCGCGAGAAATCAGCTTGTTGCAGCGAGCGCGATATTCATCGTAAGGAGAAAACTCGACGGCGACACCGATTGCGTGTGAGATCCTCGCGTTCGCGACGGGGGAGAACGGGAGCAGTTCAAAGGGAGTGAAGAGAGATCCGGCGGGTGGAAAGGGACGCGCGAATACGCGAGAGCGCGGTTATGTCTGTTGACAGTAACAGGATTTCGGAAGATATATCGCAGTATGGATTATGCACACATAAAACTTTCCCTCGGCCGACAACGCTCGCGCAAATCTTATTTTGTCGGGGGCGGACAGCACCTGTATTCTCACGTTTGCGCGCGCGCGTGCTCGCCAGATCTATTATCATCGGCCCTGATCTCTCCGCCCGACGAACTTTCCGAAGGCTGAAGTTCCCCTTTTTCCCCCGCGACGACTAACACGGCTGAGCGACCTTGTTACATGCAATAACGAGCAGCTGATAAAGATGAATGGCTCGGCGATGATGGGTGAATGAAGATCGCGCTAGGATCTTGCGAATGATCGACCGGCGAGATACTTTTATAATGTTCCTCAGCTCACCTCTCCATTCAGGTGCGCTCATTAATTGATTCTTTCGTGCGTTTCAATCATAATCGCGAGATAACGCGAGCATATTATAACGATTAAAATCTCTTAGCCGGGCGGGGGTCGCGTGATTATACGCTCCCGCGGGATTTACATAAAAAACCAGCTCGTTATGCGGATATCCGCCGGGCGTCTTAACATTTTCATCTCGTTAAGACATTCATTTCCAACTCCAGTTTCGCGTAACAGATTGCACGGCATTAAGCGTCCATCGGGAGAAAGGCGCGCGTTGTTGATTGCAACGCGCCGAGCTATTTTCTCTTTTTTTCTCTTCTTTTTACGTGTTCCACGACACTTAATGACACAGTAGTGTCTCGTAATTTAAAACGCCTTAACGATCCAGCTTGTTCTGGAGTATATACCGTCCCGTCGCCGCCAGTCCTGAAGAAAGGTGCACGTTGTTGATACGCGGCCGCAAATCAATCAATCGCCCCCTCATAAATTTCCACTCGTCGCGCTAGCCATCGAGAGAGGGGCTCAATAATTTTCCCTCGTTAACGTTCATAACAGAGTCGCGGCTGACTGTAATCTTCCACGTCTCAGCCAGCGAGTCGGCGAGGAATTCTGTTATTACAACTCATCCATAATGCAGTTGTGACTTTTGTTATACAAGCACCGTTGCGTGTGTGTTGGCGACGATCGTGTCGGTCAAAATCTTCGCGAATTCATCTCAAGGTGGAAACCTGTCGAATCTACAAGCGGACTGTATAATGTACCGGAGTAGAAAATTAACCAATATTGGGTTTCTAGTCAATCTGGGCGATGCTTACTTCCATAGTGATTGGACAAGAAAACTAGTCACTTTCTGACTACCTTCTGATCAGCTTCTAATCAGTTTTTTATCAGTTTTTGTTCAGCTCCTAATCAATTCTTTTTTGTACAAATTCTCTCAAATAGTTTTCATCGTTCACGTTGTAAAATACTGCATTTTATCACTCAATATAATATAAAAACTCAATAGGCAATATAAAAATAACGTGAAACTCATGTTTCAGAAGGTAAAGAGTCTTTTCACGTGGAAACTAATTCATTATTGAGAAAGTTATAATTTTATTTTTAATTTCGTCTTGCCTAAAAATACTGACCGAGAAATACCTGGCCAGTATTTTTCAAGTTTTCACTGTACAAAAACTTACCAACCTTTACTTAACATTTTTCTTACGAGTAAGAAAACATACTGTCAGCATTTTCCGAATTTTTACTGGACAGAAACTGCTGAGTATTTACTTAATATTTTTCTTGCCAAGTTTTTGGCCGGCAAATAGCCAAGAAATACTAATCAGTATTTTATTGGCAAGTTTCAGAACAGTTATTATCTAATAAAACACTTAGCCGGTAAGCACTAGTTTCTGATTAATGACCAGTTTTTAGTAGAAATTTTACTGCTCGGGTAATATATGTTAAAAGCATCGATTGTTTCTATTTGAAAAATCATTCGCTTTCTCCCTAGACGCGATAGACTTCGCGATGGATAATGCATGATTAGGTCTCTTAATCTGTCTGAATCAAATCATCAGAACACTAGAAGCAATATATGGTGATTATTCAATATATGGTAATTGTGGTAATTATTTGCTTTTTTGCTATAGGAAGCAATTTTTTACTGTAGCCATAAAAAAGATATGAGCGGCTAGATAGCTTAATATTAAACTATCTAGCCACTTTATATTAAACTATCTAGCCACTTTTAAAAATAGTATTTACATACATTACAGCAAAAGGTCGAATATACCATGAATTTTTTGCTAATTTTTTGCTATTCTTTGCTGTGGAAAAAAATTTTTAGCTACAGCCAAAAAAAATTATAAACGGGTAGATAGCTTAACAAAAATAAAATACTCTTAAAAAGTATATTATTCTCATCACGATTGCATTGATATGTAGCTTGATTTATTTGATATATGTTGGTCACGATTTTTTGCTTGCAAAATAAGATGTCCAGATAAGTTAAAAGAAATATACGAGACCATGGCTACAAGAGTAAAGTGCTCTTAAAAAAAATGGAGTGCTTCCATCACAATTGTATCTTTAAAAAGCTTGATTTATTTGCTTTCGATATATGTCGGTTACGATTTTTTTGCTCGCGAAATAAGATGTCTAGATAAGAAAAAAGTAATACGCAAAACGGTGGCTACAAAAGTAAAGTACTCTTAAAAAATAGATTGTTTCCATCACAATTGCATATATCCGATCAAGATATATCAATCTATATAACGATGCAATTGTGTTGGGAACAATCCATTCTTTAAAAGCACTTTATTCTTGTAGTCATCGTTTGGCGTATTTCTTTTGCCTTTTTTGAACATCTTATTTCGCGAGCAAAAAAATCGTAACTCACATACTATCGACATAGTATATCGAAAACAAATCAAACTATATAACGATGTAATTGTGATGGGAACAATTCACTTTTTAAGAGTATTCTTGTTAAGCTTTTTACCCGTTTGTAATTTTTTTTGGCTGTAACCAAAAATCTTTTTCTACAGTAAAGAATAGCAAAAAATTAGAAAAAAAATTCGTTGTATATTCGATTTTTGCTGTGATGTATGTAAATGTTAATTTTAAAAGATATGAAGCTAAGTAACTTATTATTAAGCTATCTAGCCGCTCATATATTTTTTATGGATACAGCAAATAAATTG